CGGCAAGCTCTACTTCCTCCAGACGTTCAGTTGGTTTTTGTGTTTGGGAAAACCCTAGACACGCACCTTCTGCAAAGCTAACCAGTTTGACGAAGGTTTGACAGACTTCACCTCAGTTTTATTCCCCATGTTACCGAGGCCAATCCGACCAGTGTATGATGATAGTTCTGCGTTTCCTGTGATGGAGAGAAGAAATATGCACAGATCTGAGATCCAGAGTCTCAGATCTCATTCCCACGTGGTCCGATTACTTCATTCTCGCGAGTGCAGACGCGATTGACTTTAGCGGAAGTCTCACAATCCGAAGATGTTCACATCCACAATCATCATTCGTCTGCTTTCTGCTCGAGGACACCATGGCGCTGGATATGAGGACAGTTAACGAACTGTTGGCTGGCAGCGTAGGCGGAGCGGCGCAAGTATTGGTTGGACAACCGCTCGATACCATCAAGACTCGTGCTCAGATAGCACCCAGTAAGTGTTGCTGTTCGATACAAGTCATGGATTAATCAATGCCGGCTGCTGGGTATAGAGGGCATGTTCGTAAGTCTAGCATTATGCTATTGTCACATCGAAGACGAAGTGAACGGCCCTTCATAGAATGGCCCGATGGATATTCTGAAACAAACTCTGCGTAACGAAGGGTTCTTTGGACTATATAAGGGTAAGTGATAGTCTAGCAGTCGTTAGATTAGTACTGAGAATACTGGCATGACTGTAAGGTATGGCCAGCCCTTTGATCGGCATCGCCGGAGTCAACTCCCTGCTTTTCGCGGCGTATGGCGCGTCGAAGCGAATCATATCACCCTTCCCCCAGCTCTCCTTGAAGGAGATAGCTGCGGCTGGCGCAATGGCTGGTGCTGCCAATGCTATTTTAGCTAGTCCTGGTGAGCTCATTCTAGTGATCACATCGCCACAAGACCTGACTGGTCGTAAAGTGGAAATGTTCAAGGTGCGTATGCAGGGTCAATATGGGGCGAAGGACGACAAACGATTACGGGCAGTCGCCCGAGAGATGTGGAAGGAATGGGGATTCAGAAAGGGGATTATGCGTGGTTACTGGGTGAGTTGCACCTCGTGCATACTTGGTTTCCTTTTGACCCAGGATCCTCCAGGTAACTGTAGCTCGAGAGATACCTGCATACGCTGGGTCCGTTCTATTGATGATTTCCGTACTTTACGTGCTTATGACAATCTTGCCAGATTCTACACAGGTTGGTATCCATATTTCCGTCATTGTCAAGTTTGATTCTTACCCCGTTGCCGCAGCATTTGAATTCTCCAAACGCAAGTTTAGCCGCAAGTACGGCTCAAACCTGCCAGTGTGGGCTCTGCTAGCAAGCGGCTCTACTGGAGGCGTGAGTCCAAGTCGTTTTCCCTATGCCAACACATGTTCGCTCACCAGTAGCACAGATATCATATTGGCTTAGCTGTTACCCATTAGGTTTGTCTATGAATTTCCTCCGCAAGCCATTTTCTAAGCGTCATTCTCTCAGATGTTGTCAAGTCTCGTGTGCAACTACGGAATACACCGCCGACTGGGACACCCATTCAGTATATCGCCCACGAACTGAGGACTATTGTAGCTGAATCAGGGTTGTAAGTCTGCTCTCCTTTTGCATGAATGACCGCCCTCATCCCTGGCAATTAGTGCTGGACTATTCAAAGGTCTATCACCGTCGCGTACGTTTTGCCCCATTTTTACATGATCCACTTCACTGATGACTCGTCGTTCATGCAGTGCTGAGAAGGTCTGCTACAAGCTATTCAACATGCATTCAATCTAATCTTACAGTTTTCTTCAGTATTCCCGCTGCCGCAAGCACTTTTGCTGCGTTCGAATTGACACGAGGTACGTTCGCCATTCCATGTTCGTCAGAGTTTTTACTGACATGGAATGACAGAATACTTGGAGAAGGTGACTGGTGTATAGTATGGCTGTCATCTGATCTAGAGTGTCATGTTAACTCGCTCTCGATTTATCTGCATCGTCTATCATGCTCACATGTTCCATGCCTAAAGGGTTTCATGTCTACTCTTTATCAGGAGAGCATATCCCTTCGGGATTTTCTCCCACCGGTCACTGGCGCGACGTCTGCCAGTTCCTCCGGACAGTGGCCGCACATATGATCGGATCATGATAAACACAATCACCTCCGCTCAAGCTTTACAACTGTGTCATTGGGATGGCCGCGAAACCATTCTGCCAAGCCTCCTTATTGACCATGCAGCATGCTCTTCATCGAAGCCAAATACCTACTTCATAGGTGTCTTGTTTTGAGCCAGCCCAACCGCAGTATTACTCGGATATGACCTGGATATGACACCCACAGTGGTATATTTTCATCGCACTCCGGAGCGCACACAGCAGATGCTGTACGAACGGAGTAATGATTGCACATACCAAACGGTCAATGTCTATGTCAGGGAACATCCTTTATGCCAATCAATTTGCGATGCGAACGGCTCGTAGAGGAGGCCGTGAGCTACCCTGTGCACTTGTTGGGAAATCCACGGGGCTTGTAGTATTTGCAGCGGTAAAGAAGCTATACATTACCATACTACAAATCTACTAGTACAGAACCATTGCTGACGCCCAGACCAATATTCCAGAAACGACTGTGAACTGATGAAAGGACCGACTAAACCTTGGAAGAGTCTATACAGCGGAACCTACATCATCTTCCGCGATTTTTGTATCTCGGAGGTCACGATGGTTCCCTAGCCGATAATCCTTCAAATCCTTGACGCCAGGATAGAGCGCGAAATCAGACGTAGAGTCCCCGACAACCTCTCTAGTGGTGTGAATCGAAACTTCGGTATGGTTGGTGGGGACTGTGCGGCGCGTAGATAGCCTCCACTCGGCGGCAGACCGTTGTTTGGTAGACAGCTCGTATTCCTCCGTGGCGATTCCCAAGCCCACGCGGAAGGAGATGAGAGTAGGCGCGATACCCTAAATCAATAATATCAGCCGTGGGTTCTTGCAGAAGATTGGGGCGCTGGGGAAGTGCTTACATAGATCTGAACGACTATGACGGCGACAATACCTTGCGCGGGATGGCCGATAGAGAACAGGATTACGAAGACAAGTTGGCCGATGAGATAGAGAAGTCCACTTTCAACGACGATAGCGACAGCTTTTTTGACGTGGCTTGTTGTTGTGACTGGGTTGCCATTATTCGCAGCACGGCTTTTGGACGCCATTGAATAGAGGCGCACAACGGTGAGGATAGTGATTAGGAAGTTGGTGGCCAATGGTAATGTAAATGCAGCAGTGCCCAGCGGCCTGACAGCCAGGGGTGCTTGAGGGGCGGTCGGATCGATGTTCAAGAGGATCCCCAAGCCACTCATCCCACACGCTACGGCACAATCAGTATCTGCAGTCAAGAAGATATTCGTGACCCACCAAACCCGGCAGCAGCGGTGAGCAAAGGTAGGATGACTACGTGATAGTTCTTCCCCCATACTAGCCAGCACCGATGCAATAGAACTACATCGCCGACGAAGTCGATGAGTGAGATGAGAATGTCCGCGGCGAACAACTCCTTGGTCTCAGTCGCGTAACCCGCCACGCCCGTTCTCTCCTGCAATAAAAAGTCAATTGTAGTAGATGTAATGAGGACATCGAACAAGTACTCGCCAGTGTTCTGTAAAAGTGATTGAACTCTAGCGCGAAATGAGCGGTACAGAGTATGAACAGGATGCTGATTGAGAGGGTCATTAGCCGATTTGTTTGCGTGCGGCGTCCAGAGTACAGAAAGACCAGGGATAAGACAAAAATCACAACGTATATGCCTATAGCGATGCGAGTGAGTATATATTGCCCTACCGTGCAGTCTTGTACCACGTACCATACATCAGTGCCTCGCAGCCAAAACCAATGAGCGCTGCGAGGTCATTGTCGAGCATCGCGATCTCAAATCACAATAACGGTTGGGTGTGGGGGCGCAGAACGAGGTCAAACGCGATTAGCGAGGATCCTCAGACCCATATAAGAGACGATGCCAATGTTATCTTCCAACGTGTGAGCCCGGTCTTCATGCAAGGTGCTAAGAATGCATGATGGAAGAATACTTACTTCTGTTGTGGAGTTCCTGAGCAGATCACGGTGATGAGTTCACGCTGAATCACGGGAGAGCAACGAACAACGGACCTGCAGAATCCGCACATGTCACCTGGAAATTTGCTGTAAGGCTTACGAATGGGGTTCCGAGCCCAGCCGCCCATGTTAACTTGCACCTCTTACTTCTAAAGATGGCCATGAAAGTGGGTTCTGAACGAAGGGAGCATCCCACAAGATACCGGTTACTAGGAGACCGTGTGTCTGGTTGTCAGCTCGAGAGAAACACGGGAAAGCAACAACTCTATGGATGCTGACCTGTAGGGACGATGAGAACGTAACGCCACTGATAATGAATTGCCACGACTCACAAGGGGAAGCACATGGGGTTTGCTACCGAGATGTCAGAAGGAGAATGTTGCATGATTTCATGTCGTTGCAAAGCAAGCTAACGTTTCTGACTCAGGCGGCCGTATGCAGGTTGTGCGTGAGCCCGACGATTGTGACGGTATCACTGTACAATATGTGGGGACTTGAATACTGGCGATGGTGTCGGCGCAAAGTAAAGAATCTACTATAGATATATAAATCATCATGATGCTGCCGCAGAAGGAAAAGTCTATCAAGACCTCGTTGGTTGATGATTGGCTTAGTCGGGAGCTGAGTCCGGAGGGCTTCGGATGGTGACAACTTAGGCAGATGAGCTAGATGTCCAGTTGCGAAGATGTAGTCTTCACATAGCGTCCGAGCACCACTGAGATGATTGAGAGTGGGCCTACTGGCAGTAAATCTTCGGGTGTTGCCGAGATATTCCGACTTAGACGCCAAATCCACAAATACGAGTCTACGACTTTCTCTCTTCGCAAAAGACATTCTGGGTGAGCTCAACTCATCCAGATGCTTGGAACATCTTCCAGAGTATGCTAAAATTCAAAAAGACTGACGAGAACGGGATTCGAACCCGCGCCCTCTCGGACCAGATTTTATGACTGAAAAGCCTGATTCTGGCGCCTTAGACCGCTCGGCCATCTCGCCTTGACTGGATAGCCTTCCTTACTCTTCATAAATATCTTCTTGTTTCTTGCTGTGCTCGTTTTCCACCACTGCAACACCGCGACAGTGCATCCCGAGGCATTAGTCTCGTATACCTCTCCATAACGCGTACGATGACACGGACCAGGGTCCATCATGCGATGGAGATGTTCCCAACAATAACTCAGGCTGATCACTCGCTAACCACTAACCCCTTTCATTTCATCATCAGAGGCTTCAAAGGCCAAGCACCTGACTAGTCTAAGTCCACCAGTTAAAATAGACAGTAGTATGCGTTTGCTTCCCCTCTTGTGCACTCGCTCACACCATGGCCAAAATCTACAAATCTCACCTACCCTCCTTGCAGGTCCCAGATGAATCCATATTCACCCACCTCTTCAGCACACGCTTCTTCGACTTCCCTCCTTCCAGCCCCGCATTCATCGACGCCGCGACGGATGTCAAACTTACGCGGGGGGATGTGCGCGACATGTGCCTCGCATTGGCCTTTGGTCTTAGGAATACCCTCAAGACTTTGGGCGGGGTTCAGCTCAAACGAGGCGACGTTGTCTTGATTTTCAGCCCGAACAGCATCCTATGGCCCATCATGCTGTTTGGCAGTATCGCTGCCGGTCTTCGTGTCACCTTGGCAAACAGCAACTACGTTTCCCGCGAACTCGAGCACCAATGGGTAGATAGTCGCGCGAAGGCCATCTTCGTCGCGCCACCACTTCTGCCAGTAGTACAGGACATGTTCCGAGCAGCTGGCCTGAGCGAGGCCGAGACGAGACAACGGATCGTGTTGGCGGACTGGGGTTCATATGAGGGGTCTGGGGGGCTCTCATCACAGTTCATCACGATGACAAAGCTCCTCGGTGGTGGGAAGTTGGCGACGGAGGAAAAATTCCCAGGAAAGCAGAGCTCGGAGACAGTATTACTGTGCTACTCCTCTGGGACCACGGGGAAACCAAAGGGCGTGGAGGTGTGTAAATCCATCTTCTGATGACCGCATGGCTTTGTCTGATCTAGAGAACGGGTAGACTACTCACCGGAATATCACGTATTGTGTCAACATGACTAGGGTGGTGTATCCGACGTCGACAACACAAGATGTCATGCTTGCCGTTCTGCCATTCTTTCATATTTTCGGTCAGCAGCCTACGTTCCTCGACCTTGCATCGTTAAACTTTGACATCTATCCCTCGCGCAGGTGTATCCAATATCTTGACATTCTCATTTCTGATCGGCTCTACCATCGTCATAATGCCAAAGTTCGATCCTGTGGATTTCTGCAGGAACATCGAGAAGTACAAAGTGACGATGTCTATGATTGTGCCGCCGATCTGTCTGGCACTCATCCACCACCCTGGTATGTTGTTCATCCCTCTCAATACGTTCTGGACTTGATTAACGATATTTCAGCGACGACGAAATTCAATTTGAAATCATTGCGGTTCATGGCTTCCGGTGCTGCCCCACTCAGTGAAGCAGTGGTCAAAGCCACGGAGGCAAGACTGCAATCTGTCGGTGCTCAGACAATGGTCTGTCAAGGTATGTCAAGTCGCAACTTTAAGGATATAGTCTCATACTGTAACACAGGATATGGTTTGACTGAAACATCACCAACGACCCATTTCCTTCCCCTCGAGGACCGTCTTCGCAAAGTCGGAAGCGTAGGTGTACTCATTCCTAACCTGGAAGCACGGCTTGTTGTCGACAACACGACGGACGCAGAGCTCGGAGGGATGGGTGAACTATGGGTTCGAGGCCCGAACGTGATGAAAGGTTACCTGAACAACCCCGAAGCCACCAAGAATTCCATCACCCTAGATGGGTGGTTCAAGACCGGTGACGTTGCCATCCGGGATAGCGACGGCTATTATTACATTGTGGATAGGCAGAAGGAGTTGATCAAGTACAAGGGATTCCAAGGTACGAGCACCTTCGCGTTGAGCAAATCACTGGTCGCTCATGCATGCCATTGTAGTCGCCCCTGCGGAGTTGGAAAGTGTTCTCATCCAACATCCTGACATTGTCGATGCGGCTGTTATCGGTGTGTACTCGGACAAAGACGCATCCGAACTACCACGGTATGGTTGACGTCAGCTTGTTCTACCCGATTGCTGACTTGATCAAAAACGTGCAGAGCGTACGTTGTTCATGGCAAAGGTCTCAAGGGCGAAGCTGCAGTTGCATTCGGGAATGAAGTGGAGAAGTGGATTGCACCGAGGGTGGCCAAACACAAGCTGCTGCGAGGAGGTGTGGTTGTGGTTGATGCAGTTCCACGGAGGTATGTTGGATTATGTTCACGGCGATCATACCACTGACTGCTACTCCTTTCAGTGCTGCGGGTAAAATACTGCGACGAGAGCTGCGAGATCTTGCAAAGAGGGAGGTTGCCGGTGTACGAGCGAAGCTGTAGCTGTATACTTCGTCTTGTACTTGTGCTTATATTCTGGACGATATTGTTCTTTCAATACTATTACAATGCTCATTGCTCTGAAACTGTTGAGGTGCACGTGACAGACGCGAGGACAAATAAGGCCAAACGGGATGGCTAAATGAGTCGAAGGCGTCTTGACTTCTGGCCATTCACTGGCACAGCCCACCCGCATTCTCTCTCCCTCCCTCCCATCAACACTCAGCTTCTGCCAGTACAATGGCATCTCTCATTGAACGACTAGGCGGGCCTGCAGACGCTGTCGGTCCCGTTCGAAACACCAAAAGTCAACGCTCAGGAGGATCGTCCCCATACGTGCGCCAACCTCTCACCCTCCTCTCAAGCCTTCTCTCATCTTCACCATGATGCGCTCGTCTTTCGATGACAACGTTATTGGATACGTATTCAACAGAACCGTAATTCTCGTCCGCTGAAAGGCAATAGCGATGCGACTTGGGAGCATGATATGTTCAAAGAGCCTGGTTCGGAACGATCGCTTGTCTCAAGATTGACGAATTCCACGGTGGTGCCGAAGATGAACTTCTCGTTGGCGGATAAGGCACTGCGAGATGCGACTGGAGAGAAGGGGTTGTCGATCAAGGGTGCTAGTACGCGAGGCAATGTGGTTCAGGTCAGCGGTCTGGCCAAGGGTACAACTGCCAGTGATGTTGAGGTGTGTCCCTCGACCTTTCATGTGTACGCAACTATCATACTCATTTCATACTTGTATTTTAGGAAATCTTCAAACGATGTGGCCCAGTCACCCGTGCCGAGAACACAAAGGGCGGCGAAAACCCAGTCATTAGGCTCACGTTCAAGCACGAAAAAGACGCGCAGGCAGCCGTCGCCAAGTTCCATGGACATCTTGCAGATGGGAAGGTGTTGGAAGTTAAAATCGTTGGCGGTGTCAATGCTTCGTTTGGTGGCCGTCTTGGAGTTACCGCAATTGACAACAGCGTGGATATCCTCATGGAGGAGGACAATGCGCAGAGTGGATCGTAAGTGGTCCCAGCAAGACATCTTCAGCAGCAACTGAACATTGGCTGTACAGGAAATTGCGGTCGGACGCAATTTTGGCACAAGATTCTCGTGCAACTGTGATGTTGGCACCGCCTGGTGCTGACCCCTTCGATTACACACAGCGACCACAGCGCGGACGCGGGAGGGGGGGAAGGGGTCGTGGTAGAGGCCGTGGTGGCCGTGGTAAGGGCAATGGTGCCCGAATGGATCTTGACTGACGAGCTCGAAAAGAGCTCGGGCGGACGACTTCTTTCTCTCTTGATTCCTTGGGTGCGGTCGACCCCAGATATGTGCTACAGTCCTATAATGTCCTGCTATCATTGCTCGGTTGTTCTTGTTGTTGCCTGATTCTCTGCCATGTATTATCTACCTGCCTGCTCGTTGGCCCAAGCGAATATTCAGCACCACTGCTCTCCGATGTCTTCACGAAGGGATCTTATCTCATGCCAGCAGAGGCGTTACCTGTCACACACTGACGATGTGACGGACGTGACAGGCAACGTCAGAGTGTCACATGAGTGGACAGCGGCAGCCTGTCGTTTGCTCCTTCCACTCATCCTCCCGACCCATCTGCACGACCATCCCTGCTCATCTTCCTTGCTTTCATACGCCCTAGTCGTCGATTTCTACATTGCAAGATGGGCGGCGCAGGTTCGTCGAGCTTGCCCTCACGCTCCACAGCTGGAACTCTCTGACACCTCCGGTGGTTTTTTGCATCTTAGGATGGCTCTTCCTCTTTGCGGTTCTTATGGCCGCCGGGCTGTTGTTTACAATGGTGTTCTTCGTATGTCTCGTCTCTTCTTCCCTCCTGTGCTCCTTTGGACGTGCTCGGTACACGTTACGCGATAGCAGGACCCTCATTCCATACTCCTGTGTGGCGTTGTTCACCTCATTATCACAAATCTGACACGTTTATGTTGTAGATCATCATGTTCTCGGACTTGGAGTGTGACTACATCAACCCCATAGACCTTTGCAACAAGCTGAACCAGGTACGTCCCCCCATGTCTTTCGCCCTCGTCACTTTTGCTAACAACAACCCGTCCAGTTTGTTCTGCCAGAGCACATAGCCCACGCCTTCCTCTGTGTCCTGTTCCTGTTGTGCGGTCAATGGATAGCGTTCTTGATAAACGCGCCGCTGCTGGGCTTCAACGTCAACAAGTACGTAACCTCTGCTGCGACTTCCACGTATACGCATTTCCTCATTGTGCTTGTCCCCACAACTAGAATACGTGGTGGAAACCACATGTACGACGCTACAGAGATCTTCAGGTCACTACCGAGTCACAAGAAGGAAAGCTTCATCAAGCTTGGGTTCTACCTACTCAGCTTCTTCTACTACCTCTACCGGTACGCAATGCTCGTTATGCCTGGGCTTGTGATCGTGACACTGACGCGTTTTTTGGTTCCCCAGTATGATCGTCGCTCTTATCGCAGATAGCGAGTAAGTAGCACGATCTATCTGTGCTCGAAGGCGGAGGGGTGGGATGACGAATACCTTACGAGTCAGGCAAGACGGGGGGCAGGCGGGGACATTTGAGAT